GATTCTGTGTTTCCCTCTGTGTCTTTTAGCCTCTTCTGTCTGCTTACACCCTGCAGCTTACATAACCATGTTTATGTGTGACATAAACAGACTGAAACTGATTAGACCCTTTAGAGAGGGAGCAGACTGAGAAGAATAATCAGGAGCTCAGTGGACCGGCGCTGGACGGTGAATGTAACTCTGGTTCTGATCCATTTGGATGACATGTATGGCTTCTAACATTTCATCATTTTTCGGCATTAAAGCCTGTTCTTATACAACCAACTGTCATTATTTCTCAAGGTAATTTACAGTGAGGGGTTCTGGTCGGGTTCTGGTCTAAACGGACCTGTAGGAGCACAGAGACAGAAATGAATGAAGTCCAACAGAAGGTTTCTCCACTCAGTCAGTCAGCGTTAAGGCGTCTGGAGACTGAAAACCTCATGACATAAAGTCCAGCAACCAGAACAGTTTCTGTGATTCTTATTAAAACTGTTGGAGATGCTAAAGCCGCGTTAGCAGCTCTGAATTAAATCCTGTTTGTGATTATATTATCCACACTCTGGTATCTTTCATAGGTTCTGGTCCAAAGCTAATAGTGAGAATGTTTTCAGGTTAAATTGGGAACTTCTGAAGTTTGAAATGGGAAAATATTTAAGAAAATGTGGTAAAAAGAAACAAACTGAAGATTCCATCATTTCAAACTTAACGACTCTTTTCCTGAAATCAGTGGATCAGATGTCAGGAGAGAAATGATTTTTCAGAACAGCTTAAATTAAATGTAGAAAATGAGAGCAGAGGGCTTCATTAGATCTAGAAAACTGAAGAAAGAGTCGCGATGACGCTAATATTATACACAACCTCAAAATTAATGGATGAAATCACCGTTTATAGGTGATCATACAGCTCAGCTCTTTGACATCTCTGTACTGGATGTTTTAGATCAGGGAGCCCACAGTGGGTCCTGGAGGCCCGGCATCCTGCAGGTTTCATTCTCTCCCTGCTGGTGGTGACGACCTTGTCAATGTTCCTCTCAGGCCTCTAATGATCCATCATGTGATCCAGGAGTTAAACCAGAGAATAAAACATGCAGGCTGCCGGGCCTCAGGCCCGACGGCGGCCACCTCTGGTTAACATGCTATGAAACATTCAGTTTCTAAATGAATCTCTGGCCCCTTTCCTCCTGCTCTCTGACTGCGGAGCCACACAGACCTTCCTCTTCTGGACCAGTGGCTCCCGTTCTGTTAAATCACCATTATAAGATACTTCTTTAGTTTTGGCCAGACGTCTTAAAAATGTTTTACTGGGTTTTATCGACGAGTCAGGATTCATGAAAGAACGTCAACACGGTCCTGATACCACAGATTATTCAGTTAGTGGAAGATGATAGTTTATCTTATTTCTCGACTTCAAAGAAGCTTCTGGTTCTGTAGAACCGGACTTCTTGGGTTCAGCTTCAGAAACATGTGGATCTGGTTTCTTCGTCACTGAAGCTATAAAGTTACAATCAGAAACTTCCTCTATTTGGGTCGCCTGGAGGCATCAGAACCAGAACCAGGACCAGAACCAGGACCAGAACCCTCCGTCTCCTGCTGCTGGCGGCCGGATCCAACAGCGAGACAAATACCAGGAATACGGCAGGCAGCAGAACCGAGACAAGACTGGACCAAGACCGGTCTCAGTACTGCAGCACCAGCAGACGATACGACACGTTTGGAGCAACTCTGGACAAGTTCTGGTCCTGGTTCTGGTCCGTTCTGCTTTAAACTCTGATGATTAAACCTGCCATGTTTTAATTTTATATTCTCTGCTGGTTTTTATTTCTTCTGCTCTGGATCTTTAACCCTTAAATCTCCAGTCAAACTGTCCAAACTCTGTTTGCCATCTTGGATCTCCAAGCCCAGATATTCTCCTCACAGATGTTTAATCTGGCATAAGGTTCTTCTACAAGGATAAATCTGCACACTGACTGCTGGAGAAACTAACATGATGTATGTAAGCAGCTGTTTGTTCAGTGAGTTTCTGTGGTTTGCAGTAGCTGCTGAGGATCCGGCCATCATCCCTCAGGAACCAAACTCAGGCAGTTCAATGGAAACTTCTGCTGCCGAAACTCGTCTGGCGTCCGATTCCAGAGACGATCCGTTCCTTTCCATCAGCTGATCCGCCCTGAGCTGCTGTTCATCCATGGAGACGGTTTGGTCTCTGCCTCGTCAACTAACCAAGTTAAAGACGCTCCGTAAACTAGTCCACAGGCGCCGCACAACAGGAAATGCTTAAATATTGCTGCATTTTGCTCTTTCTGTCTCAGGATGAACACATGAATCATTTGTTTTGGAGCGACACCAAAACCTCTTGGATGAAATCATGAACCTTTTCCCCACAAACCTCTCAGTTATGAAAAATTGGCTTTACTGCTTTTAACAAGAACTGATTCTTTTTGACATCAACCTCATTTTACTTCTTACTAAATACTTTATACATAAACGCAAGTTCAGCAAAAACCAGCTTTTATTCGTTATCTTCATTAAAGACTTGATTTGATACAATCATCACATTATTATTCTAAAAATCCAAAAGCCATTAAAACTGTAAATTTATTAAACAATTGTAATATCTTATAATTCTCTGTAGATGTTTTTCGCCTGGCAAATTTATTTCCTTTACTTTTTTTTCTTATGTTTGTGTACAACGTCAATGTTTCCAAGATTGCCAATAAAGATGTAAAAAATAAATTAAAAAAACAGGAACCAACCTGGAAATAACCTGGAATCTGATTAGATGAACCTGTCCTTTCACAATAAAAGCCTCCCAGAGTGAACAGAACTCTGACCCGGTTCTGTTGGTCATTCTGGAGGTTCTGGGGAGTCCTGCTGCCATCTGCTGGACTGATGCTGTCACTGCACCTGTTGGGCCCCAGGACTCACCTGGTGGACAGGTGAGCAGGTTCTGCTAGACCGCAGAACAACCCGAGTCCAGAACCGAACAAAATCACACACAGTACCACAGGGCCGAGCCGAACAGAACCAGGTCAGTTCTGATCAGAGGACCGTCTCCACCTGCTGCCACGAACAGCTGAAACAATGACAAAAGCTTCTGCTCCTGTGATTGGACGAGCCAGCAGTTCGAAACCAAATCAATGTAAAGAGTAAACAAGCAGCTTCAGAGCCTCCATGTTGGTTGTGATGATGTCACATCCAACATGGAGGCAGCGGAAGGTCCAAACCTTTACTCTGATGGTTGTTAGATGATCAGCTGGTTCTGTTTTGGAAAGCTCTTTGCTGGTTTGGTTCTGATGTTTACTGGAGCAGCCATCATCAGAACCGTCTGCTGGACCTCCACCAGCCGGCTCAATGAAAGCTGAGGGCTCTGGTTCTGAGCGGAACCGGCCCAGTCCAGGAGGGCCACGGGTTCTGGCCTGAAATAGATCCAGCTCTTCTTTCATTCAGAGTTCTGACTTGAGTCCACAGATTCTGGTGTGTTCTGATTGGGCCGCTTCGTTCATAAACGGACCAGTCAAAGTCTACCCAGCAGGGGGCGCTGCAGCCTGTGTGTGTGTGTGTGTGTGTGTGTGTGTGTGTGTGTTTTGGTTAGGATAAGAGTTAGGCTGTAGAAATGAATGGAAGTCAATGGAAAGTCCCCACAGAGAGCCACGCAAACGTGTGCGTGAGAAAAAGAGAGAGAGAAAGCTGAACCTCACAGGTGGAAAACAGGAAGTGTTTATTATTAAGACAATAAAAGCCCTGATGAGTCAGGAATCTGAAGGCGCTCCGCTACGGAGCAGTCACGTGATTCTTCTGGACACACAAACAGGAAATAAACAAACAAGATCAGTCTCTGACGTCAGCAGCCTCACCTGCTGCAGGTGACGCCAACATCAGTTTGGAGTGGGGTGGGGGGCCAGTCACTGTAAACATCCGGTCTGATCAAGCCCCGCCCCCACAAAACGTAATCATTGTTCAAGAACACTGCGTGCACGTGACCGAGGCGCGTGCACGCAGAGCCACACGTTCCCTCCATGAGACACATGTTATAAAAACACGGAACCAGAACTCCCATCCGGTCCAGTCTGGTTCAGAGTGTTCCAGTCCAGTCCAGTCCTCCCATCAGGCGCAGGGCAGGCTGTCCGGAGCCCGGCCCAGCTCCCTGCAGTCCGGGGAGAACTGCAGCCTCCGAACCGCCTCCTTGATCAGGTTCCCGGACAGAATCAGTTCCTGCAGCAGCCGGTGCGGGTCCTCCTCCTGGACCCGAACCGGGACCCGCTTCCGGTTCCACGGTCGGATCTGGTCCCAGTCCGGCTCCGCGTGGCTCGGCAGCTGGTACGGGCTGCGGGTCCGGTGGGTCCCGCGCTGGTTCCGGATCTTCAGGCAGCAGCCGCGGGGGTTCTGCTGGAGGTTCGGGCCCGCCGCGCCCCCGCAGGACCCGGGCCCGGTCCGTGGGTTCCCCCCCGGGGCCCCGTGGAGCTGCAGCGCCTCTCCGATCTGCGTGACCAGCGCGTCCACGTCCGCGGGGCCCACGGCCTGCTGCAGCGCCAGCAGGTTCTCCTTCAGACTCGGCATCTCTCTGCGGACCGAACCGAACCGGGCCGCTCCACTCCGCTCAGTACACACAAACAAGCCGTTTGATTTGTAAACAATGGGTGACGCGTCTGGACCGAACCATCTGCTGCCGGGGGGAGGGGGGTACGGNTGAGGGCTCTGGTTCTGAGCGGAACCGGCCCAGTCCAGGAGGGCCACGGGTTCTGGCCTGAAATAGATCCAGCTCTTCTTTCATTCAGAGTTCTGACTTGAGTCCACAGATTCTGGTGTGTTCTGATTGGGCCGCTTCGTTCATAAACGGACCAGTCAAAGTCTACCCAGCAGGGGGCGCTGCAGCCTGTGTGTGTGTGTGTGTGTGTGTGTGTGTGTGTGTGTTTTGGTTAGGATAAGAGTTAGGCTGTAGAAATGAATGGAAGTCAATGGAAAGTCCCCACAGAGAGCCACGCAAACGTGTGCGTGAGAAAAAGAGAGAGAGAAAGCTGAACCTCACAGGTGGAAAACAGGAAGTGTTTATTATTAAGACAATAAAAGCCCTGATGAGTCAGGAATCTGAAGGCGCTCCGCTACGGAGCAGTCACGTGATTCTTCTGGACACACAAACAGGAAATAAACAAACAAGATCAGTCTCTGACGTCAGCAGCCTCACCTGCTGCAGGTGACGCCAACATCAGTTTGGAGTGGGGTGGGGGGCCAGTCACTGTAAACATCCGGTCTGATCAAGCCCCGCCCCCACAAAACGTAATCATTGTTCAAGAACACTGCGTGCACGTGACCGAGGCGCGTGCACGCAGAGCCACACGTTCCCTCCATGAGACACATGTTATAAAAACACGGAACCAGAACTCCCATCCGGTCCAGTCTGGTTCAGAGTGTTCCAGTCCAGTCCAGTCCTCCCATCAGGCGCAGGGCAGGCTGTCCGGAGCCCGGCCCAGCTCCCTGCAGTCCGGGGAGAACTGCAGCCTCCGAACCGCCTCCTTGATCAGGTTCCCGGACAGAATCAGTTCCTGCAGCAGCCGGTGCGGGTCCTCCTCCTGGACCCGAACCGGGACCCGCTTCCGGTTCCACGGTCGGATCTGGTCCCAGTCCGGCTCCGCGTGGCTCGGCAGCTGGTACGGGCTGCGGGTCCGGTGGGTCCCGCGCTGGTTCCGGATCTTCAGGCAGCAGCCGCGGGGGTTCTGCTGGAGGTTCGGGCCCGCCGCGCCCCCGCAGGACCCGGGCCCGGTCCGTGGGTTCCCCCCCGGGGCCCCGTGGAGCTGCAGCGCCTCTCCGATCTGCGTGACCAGCGCGTCCACGTCCGCGGGGCCCACGGCCTGCTGCAGCGCCAGCAGGTTCTCCTTCAGACTCGGCATCTCTCTGCGGACCGAACCGAACCGGGCCGCTCCACTCCGCTCAGTACACACAAACAAGCCGTTTGATTTGTAAACAATGGGTGACGCGTCTGGACCGAACCATCTGCTGCCGGGGGGAGGGGGGTACGGCGGCGTGACGTCACGCTGAGTCAGGGGGAGAGGGGGGGCAGGTACAGGTGGGGGGACAGAACCGCTTCAGACACTTCATCAGGTCCACTGGTCCGAACCAGAACACTCACTCCGAACCGAGCCTCCTCCCTCCGTGAGACAAGCCCCCCACCCCCCTGAAATGGACCGGTCCATCCGAACCAACATTACATAACTTTAGTCTGGCTCTGCCGGAACCATTTACACACAAACCGAACCTCATCAGAACCGTTATGACCTAAACACCGTCATCGGTTCCGACCGAAACACACACCCTGATCCCCCTTCAGAACCAACCAGCTCTTAGTGAAGTGGATCAGAACCGGATCCTGATTCTGCACACGAGCTGATGTGCCGAACCGGAACCGGAGGGATGTTCTAAGTGAGAAAGGGGGTGGACGTGTGGAGCTGCAGAGAACAATGTGTGTGTGTGTGTGTGTGTGTGAGGACAGCGTGTTCAGTGTTTCTCAGAAACAGCCTCTGTCTGAACTCGTTGCTCCCTTCAGCCCTCATGACCATATAAGGAGCTGCTAGCGGCACCACGTGACTCAGCAGCCAATCAGAAGCCGCTGCTCTGTCTGTGGATTCCTGGTCCAGTACAAAGTGAAAGGAACACAAATCAGCTTCCATAACCAGAACGGAACCGGGCCAGGTCATGTTCTCCTTTATTGTCACACAAACTGACCTGAGGTCCAATTGAAGAATAAGCTTCATCAGAACCTAGGTTCTGTTTGGTTCGGACCTGAAACCGGCTCCAAACAGAACCACCTGGTCATTCTTCAGAACCGGGCCAGCTGAGTCTGTTTGATCTAACAGAATCAGAATGTGAACAGACGGACCTCAGTGAGCAGCAGAGGTCAGCGGGTTGGTTCTGACCCGGTCCAGCCCGCCCCACCATGTGTTCATGTTTAGACTCGTTCCTGGAAAACCTGCCGGAGGAAGAGGAGGAGGAGTCTTCCCAGGGGCGCTGCCACGAATCTTGGGCCCCCTGACAAAAAATTAGTTTGCCCCCCTCCCCCGCAGCTGCTGTTACAATTTCTTGAGTCTATTTGACCCATAAAAAGCGTCACAGTTT